GGGCGCTGGCACCTGCAGGGCGCAGGGATCCTCTACTCCGCCTATCCTCTTCCATCTATGATAATGTGCTGTATAGTATGTCATACGAATAATAATACCTCATTCTGGATTCCTGTAAGTCGCGAAATTTTTTTTTTACATCAGCAAGTAGGTCGCTATTCGCAGAAGTCAGGGAGCCACTTCTCTGGTGTGACTGAATCAAAATTCGCTATGACAGAGTGACATGTCGAATGTTCCCTTTAAATCACTCAAATCCGTCTTTTCAAGAAATTCACAAGAGGATATTTCTTGCAAATTTCCATTAAATTAATTTGGGAATACAATCCAGGAGTTTCGTGAACTCCAACGAAAGCCTAATTTGAAGCCTTGCTGGATTCCCCTCCAATTTCAGTGTCTAATGAAGGTGACGTCCCTTCCTCGTTGGTGTCCGAGGAAACTCGCTCCATTCATATATTGCAAGACACAAGGAAAATGGGGTTGTTTTAACCTTTTGTCGCACGTAACGGTCGCTACACTTCACATACGCGGACTTGTCACATGGTATTCCATTTTTTAATCCCGAAGCCATCCGTGTCACATGCTCCTTCCATGCTATTCAGCGACCACATAAACATGCCACTTCCCTTTTCACCCTCGAAATTGCCCTGTTGAGTGCGACGGGTTACACCACTGTTAATGACATGTTACATTCTTGTGCTTGTGAATGACATCAAGAACCAGTTACAGCCTTGCTCGCACCCGATCCCAAGTGATATATGGTGTGACAGTGTGCGAGATGGCAATTCGCTTCATGACTTTCACATGAGACAGCATTATGTGATCGTATCTCGTTCTCACGAGGAAGGCCTTACTCTCCGCCCCTCACACTTCACCTTTCACTCCTTACCCCCACCCTTCACATCCCACCCTCCACTCCATTCCTACCCCATGCCGTCTCACCTCTTCCTTTGCAGTGGCTGGGAAGGATTCGGAGACGTAGACACTCCCGACGGCCATCCCCATCATGCTGTTCACCAGACCCGCACACACATCCTCCCTAAGAGACCCGAGCATTCTCAAAGAAACAAGCCCTTCTCCGAGCTGAAAGAACTCGCAGTCACAGCCCTTACCTCGCTGGAGGCTCGTTGATCCCCGAGACGATCTTGGAGTAATTGAAGAAAAGATCCCGCATCGCTTCGTTCGTCTCGTCCCCCACCGCGTACACTAACCGCCAGTGCAAGTAGTTCGCTGGATGCAAAAAAATATTAAATCTTTCCTCTAAGTAAAAGGGAGGAAAATATAATTTCCTGCTTGTTGGCCTCTGGTTCATTCCCTTACCGACTTCGGCGCTTCACCCCGTATTACATTTAAGTACTGGGGTATGAGAAACTTACCCCTTCCATTATTTTATGGGTACTCCAATCTATGTCGGTCCAAGATAATCCATACACAGAAGCGCACTCAGTGCTTCTGCCAATAAATTACGAAAATTGGCGCTACCACAGACAACCTTTCCCGACCGAGAATCGCCAACCCAAACGGCCAGGTCCATGGACCGACATCAATTGAAGTATCAATCGAAGCTTCAATTCCCTGCGCTAGACGGATTTCTTCCTCACCGATCGTTCTCTTTGGGGTCCGGTTGAGGAGGTCGGCCAGGTCGGACATGAAGTCCGTGGCGTAGCAGACGACCTCGTTGCTGCTGTTCCAGGTCACGTTCACGCCCGAGAACACGGAGTTCAGGAAATTTGTCCACCTGATCTGGAAAAGGAAAAATAAATAATTGAGAAGAAGTAAAGTGATGAAGCACGAGATGAAGCGCGAGATGAAGCGCGAGATGAAGCGCGAGATGCGTTCACAATCTCAGAGGTACTATACAGTCCAAAAAAAAAAGCATTTGGCAAGCAAAGTTATGCAAAAAAAACGAATTCGCCTGGAATTTCGCTTGCGGAAGAGACTCGAGAGGGACTCACGACTCCCGGGGCGCCGGCGTCGGTCGCGTTCTGAAGATCCGCCAGGCTCAGCCTGTTGTAGCGGGCCGTGGTGTTCCGCCTGTCCGAGCTCGGCACCACGATCTAGGTCGATTGGGATCGACTAGGGTTAGCTGGGGTTAGCTGGGGTTAGCTGGGGTGGAGGTTCGCGCGCTGCGGGGATGCATTCCCTGCCTTTCACTTTTTGAAGGGCTAGGTTGCGTTTTGAGCGGATTTCCGTCGCCGTTCGTGCGAATGCCGCGGATGCGGCAGAGTCGCAGCGGGTGGGTGGCGTCGACGACAAAATGCCATTTCGTGATGAGAATTGGGAGAAAATAAAAATTGCCGGAAATTGCTGAAATATTTACTGCTGTAAAGAATGTTTTTTATTTTTACATTTTTCAGCACCAAGAGTAACACAATTACACGGAAAAATTTACTTTCAGGCAATAAAAAAATTTATTTGCGAAAAAAATGTTTTTAATGAAAATTATTAATAAACAAAGTGATAATTAATTAAATAAGTGCACAGGGAAACTACCTCAGCTAGGGCTTTCTCGAAGGCGATGACCTCCGCCCCCTGCTCATCGATGGCGTCGTCACCGACGCCGGACCCTTGCCAGTCCCTCACCAGCCTCGCCGTCCCCTTCAACAGCTCGGCGTAGGCGTCCAGGATCGACTGCAGCGACGGCTCCAGGTAAAAGTCCCGGCCGGTGAGACCCAGGATCGACTGGTCCAGCTGAGGGGAGGTCGGAACGGGTTCGAGGTTTTGTAGGCGGGGGTGCAGAACGCGTCGAATCGCGGGGAGTGAGAGGCTACTGCGATAAGCGTGGTTTATTATATGAGTGTTATTTGAAGATGCAATATTAGGCATTTAGACATTTAAAATTAGAATTTTATTTTAACACTTAAAATATATTTCCTTAAATATATACAATAAAATAATACAATAAAGTAATACAATAAAATCAAATCAAATCTGCAGGAATGAGATGGAAATCGATTCGATCGCGCTCTGACTCACATAGAGGACGCTGTTGTTGGTGTCCATGTCATCCGGCCCAACGTAAGCCGTGACGAGCGTGTTGAGCGTGACCTCCCGGATGAGAGCGGCCGCCGTCTCCTGCCAGTCGGGGTCGCCCGCCTCCCCCTCGCCCATCGCCATCGGCCAGCCGCCGTGGTTCTCCATGAGCGAGGTGAGGGGGCTCAGCCCCAGTGACTCCAGGGTTGCTGGATCGCGGAGGTGATACGATCATTTATGATAAGCGCCTCGGAAGCGTAAATGAGAACGGAGAGTTGTTCGTCGGAGCGGAAATGCTGCAAATGGTTGTGCCAGATTGCAGAAACCAGTTTTTATTACAGAAAATTATTTTCGGAATCCCCTCGGCATCCGATCCTATGCCGAATATGGCAACCCTGGCTCACATCCAACCATTAAGAGCCAACCAAGGCTCCTTATATTTCTTTTTGTCATTAGATTTTTCCATTTTCTTTCATGACACGGTGAACTTGTTTCCCATTTTTCTTTACACTTTCTGAAACGTAGCCCATTCATCGTCCGTATTTTTTTCATCCATTCATGCCTTCAGGAATTTTTTAAAAACAGCATTTCAGCCCAAGTTGGGACTGGTGGGACCTACCGTTGTCGACGCAAGCGGCGAACATGTTCTTCGCGTCCAGGACGGACGCGCTGTCGTTCGACAAAGACCCTTCGCTCAGGATTTCTGTCAAGGACATAAAACGAGATTAAAGACCTTAAAAAAAAAGAACCAGAAGATTAAAAAAGGACATCAATGTCGTCTAGGAGCAACGGCCGACCTTTGACCCGCAGGTTGAGTTCGAGCCGGAGCTTGTTAATCATGGTCATGACGTTGGAGGTGGGCGGGATGGGATTAGCCTTAATCCAGTTCCCGCAGGTGTAAGCGTAGAAGTCATCGCAGGGATTCGCGGTTGTGTTCATCGCGGCCATCAGCTCGTCGGCTGCAACGGCCCGCATTTATTCGAGGGGGAAAAATCCGAATCTATCCATCAAATTTTACTGAAAATGTTGCCAAAATAACAAGCAACCATCAGTTTAGCTGGGAAAGAAGGATTTCCACATGTTCGAAGGAATATCCGTAATTAAATTGAATTGTAATTGAAGAAGTATTGGAATCGAACGAGAAATGCTCGAGGCATGATGCAGACCGGTTTCTTTGCATTCTTTCGTGCTGCACACGTTCTGGCCATTTTTTTCGGCCTGAGACCCAGCCCTGGGTCTTTCGACTCTCGGCCAGTCCTTCACTCTCGCGTTCGAGGGGAGGATGTCGTCGTCCTCCGGGAAGGGGGAGATGTGAGTCTCCGCCGGCAGCCCGCCCCTCAGCGGCGTCGATCTCATCTCCTTCCGTGTCGCCAGCGGACCTGGTGCAGCGAGCGTGTCGAGCGAGTCATCAGTCGTTGCGGATCTCTCACGGCGTGAAGGAAGAACTTAATGGAGGGAGAACTTAACGGGGGAAGAGCTTACGGTTCTTGGAGGCCTCCGACACAGCGTCCGCTAGGGTCAGTAGCAGCAGCACGGACAGGATTCTGTCGAACAACAATTAGACAATTAGTCTCAATGCCACCTGCATCAAATTTTAATATGAAATAGACCAACATAGTGAGAATATAAATGGCACTACATATGGTAGATATTGATACGATGAGAAAAACTATTTAAAGAATTTATTATGCTACTTTCACTAGAACGACGGTGAAATTTAAAAAGCAGAAAAGTGACTGACTTGAGGGTCATGCTGGTACACTCTCGTCGGCACACCTAGAGAAAAAGTGCAGTGTCCAAGAGTGTGCAGGCGATAAAATCGTTCCCCTAATCCTCCTTATTGCCTTTATCATAAAATATCCTTGAACGAAGGAGGCATCAATAAATCTTCATGCCGGGAGTCATTTAAGGAGATAAAACAGACTTTATTGCTTGGTTCTCGTGTGAATTGCCCCTTGAGACGTTTTTATTCGAAATATCACAGACTGTTGCATCAGCGTCGAATGTTGCCAACGTTGCGATCCGATGATTGTGTTTTATTCCGGATTTATTGAAAATTCTCCACGCGGAAGTCAATAGTGGAGAAATACAATTATCCCTGTTTTATACTTACGAAGATCTGATTTTGACTTTGGAGCGCCCACCCACCTATCCAACAGACCGAAAATTGAATTTCCTAGATGTGTGCAATACTTATCACATGACGCAGCTGTCGCTAATGTTGACCATGAAGTCGTTGACGTTGCAACCGACTGGTGACTATGGCGGTGTTGTTGCTCACGGTCCCGTAGATCCTGAACCTTGGGGGACACTAACGTTCCCGCACCTATTCTAAAAAGAACGGGGAGGGAAGAAAAAAACGCTCCGAAAAGGATGGGAGTAGATAATGTGGGAAATCCTCGTACGTAGGCGGCGACGATGTGACGAAGACGAGGAACGAGGCGTGAGGAACTCGAGACCAGGGAGGAAGGGTTTCCGTTCCGTTCCAGGCGACGTAGTTGAGCCAGGCTTCAATCAACCCTTAATTGTCCACTATAAAGGGTGTCCGTATTTAAACACAACATAGGAAATATTTTTCCGCCTGTATGTGAAGTTCGGATAACGTTACATGGCCCACCGAGTTGCGCATTCGTCAGGAAACACAAAGACACACACCGGTGATTGTTCTTATCCTTAGAAATATGGAACCTGCTGAGCTTCAGGACCCTCGCTGAACTCCTCAAACGGACGGCAACATTTCCCCTACATTGCTTTTAAACATATATTATTTTAAACACGTCAATAGTCCGTTCACATGCGGTGATACAGGATCCGGGAGTGAGCATGAACGGACGAATGAAGAACAATCGCCCATAATGCTTGAAAAAATGGTCAGAGGCGGGGGCTGACGACTACAAAGGAATGGAGTGCAGATACGAACTATCGTCAAAAAATTTTTTGACTCGGAAATCGCGAATGCAATGCGAATCGCAAATGAACATGAAAGTGGAAGAACGATTAAATCCGCGCGTGGGGACGGTGACGATGGACGGTGGAAGGATGAGTCACTGGTGTAGATCCACATGACATGAGCACTAATTGCTAAAAAAAAAAAAATGGAACGCATAATGAGCCAATATTGATTCCAGACTTTTTTCCCTGCTGTGAGGAAGGAAAAAGTCTTTTCCGAGTAAAAATTAAATGCAATGTAATTATATTCTAAATAATATTCTTCTTGAAACAATGAGAATCCATTTCATAGATGTCTGATACCCTTCAGGCAATGAACATCATGCATTCAAGTAGTCACGGAACGGAACACGACTGAGAGGTGCATTCATGGAAAATTCCCATAGCCCCAGAGCAGCATCAATCCGAGCATAAGATGGTAATAGCTCCAATGCATGGAAGGCGAGAGCGAACCGGGGGGTTTCTCTTCCTTCACATCCGACCCCCTGCAGAAGCAAGCATTCCAATTTACCACCTGGGAGCGGTAAAAGCCTTTGGTTGGGCTAGAGGAATTTACCAGATGACGCAGCTGTCGACCCCGTTGAACATGAAGTCGTCGGCCTTGCAACCGAAGGTTTTGGCGAAGGCGACGTTGTTGCTCAGGGGTCCGTAGACCCTGAACTTGGCCGGACTGTGCACCCCGTTCAAGATCTGGTTCAGCAGATACTTCACGGTGCTGTGACCGCACCAGTTCTACAACCAGAGGAATATCCAGGAATGCGCAAGGAACACCACGATTTGAGAATGCGAGAAATCCTCATACGTAGGCAGAAGCGACGAAGAAGAGTTGCTGAGTCGTGAGGTTGAGACCAGGGAGGGAGGGTTCCGTTCCGTTTCGGTCGATGTATTTGAGGTAGGCCAGCCAGGCCTCACTCAACCCTCCGTTGTCAGCTATGTTCTCTCCCAGAGTCGCGACACCGTTCACGTGTGAATCTGCAGCGTACAGGAACGGAGAAATTAATAGTTATTCTACTAAAATATCTGATTTTAAAATATCTGATTTAGAGGCAAGCGTTATCGTGAAGAAAAGTTGCATCTTCGAGCGAACGCTCTTTATCGCGTCTATAAGCACCAGGCTTATAATCACGATGGAAATCTCTTAGAAAGGTAGAACCTGCTATATAGTGAACGTACAAAGAGAAAATACTTTTCAACTTCATACTGTTTAAGACACCCGAGAGTTCCGGGACATCGTATCCGTTGTATTGATCGATGAAACACTGTGCCCTTCCCACAAAAGCATCGGCCGTCGCATCCGTCCACCAGTTGACCAGGTTTCCCTTGGCGTCGTATTGGCGACCGGAGTTATCGAACCTGAGAATACAGGCAAACAGAACTGAAATGTTAATGCTTGATTCCAATTGGACGTCTCGTCTCAGAAGATTTTCTGTTTTGATATCACTATAACCTGTTTTTTTTTTTTGCTCGATATCGCAGTAACTTATTAATTTATATAAACATCTCTGTAAAATGAAGAGCGTATCATCAAGCTTCATATGACAGTGCTTCATGTTATCCTGCTTGATATTACGTGGCCAAAGCACAGTTGCAAATATGAACTGGCATCCAGTAAGAGGCCAATATTTAACAAGGATGACATGCATCATGCAGAAGAAGGAAAAACAAATTCCCAGGACCGCATGACAATGTCTCACCTGAACGCACATTGACCAATTGCCAATGGACAATGGCCAATTGCCCTAAATTGGCCAATGACCCAATTGCTCGGGGGCCCGCTTGCTTGCTGGTTTGCCGGCTTGCGTTGCAAGCTGCATTTATCCGCCCCCCTCCTTAGAGGCGTGCACACATGCTTAAGACGTTTATTTGAAGTGATGTTGCACGGCTTATTCAGAACACTGGATACGACGTAGGGATTCCGTCTGCTGCAATACTGGAAATTTGCTTGGCATTGGTCAAGAAAATTCGAAAATTGTATGCAACTAGTTTTTTTATGAATGAATGAGGACTTCGTGATTTGTGGAGAGTTTTCGTTAATGTGGAGGAGTGGTCTCAAAATTTTGGTCCTGCATTCCGTCTCATCTCCCTTTAATTACTAATTATTCTTTCGTGGGGCACATACTGTGAGCATTAATATTTTCCTGAGACGAAACTGTCCCAAATTCTGGATTGTCTGGAAAAATTATCCCTCGTACATTAATTTTCTCTTTGTAAAATGCCAATGACAAAAAATAAAAACTTAAAAACAGCTGTCCTTCAGATGAGAGAAATGAATTGGTTTCCGTACTTCCCCGACTCACCCGTGGGTGATTTCATGCCCGATGACCGTGCCGATCCCGCCGTAGTTCATGGCCGCGGGCCTCCCCTGCTGGTAGATCGGACTCTGCAGGATCCCCGCCGGGAAGGTGATGGAGTTCATGCGGGGATAGTAGAAGGCGTTCACGACGGTCGGGTGAGTGATCCAGGCGTCCCGGTGCACCGGCTTGTTCACGCCCGCCGCCTGTCGCCTCCACGACCAGCCGAGCAGGCTGAAGGCGTTCCAGAGGTGAGTGCTGTTGTTCACGATGATCTGTAGAGAGGAAAATGCGGGGAATACAGACCGTTATGCTAAAAAATCGGGTATGGCTATAATTATTTCTCGATTGTATATGATAATTTAAGAACTTCAATAAGGAGAGTACACAAGGTTTTAAATGGAAATGTAAATCCTGTTACAGGTTTCAATAAGCTTGGTTACCATTAACGCTTAAAATTTATATATCATCTTCTAGGCAAACGCGAATCTTCCATCAATTACACCAGAAAGCAGGACTGGGAGGGTCAAATACCATTCAGAAAAATATTTGGAAACTCAACCAGGCGTTAGAAAATGTACTCCTTATTCTATTGTTCCAATTTCTATGAACCAATTTATATTTTCCAATTTCTAGATACCAACCTTTCATGAATTAAATATGATTGAAAAAATACGTATTTTTTTTAAATAATGAAAATCAGCATGAATAACGAGAAAGTCTTCAAATTCGACGTGGTTCTATATCGCATTCATCGAGAAAACCCCAGACGCTACGGAACGGCACAGACCCCAGCATAATAATCGGCAAGGGCTTTTGGATCGAGGATGAAATCGGGGTATCCAATGAAGGCCCGAATGGCATCGTTCTTATCCTTCGCCTTCTTCCTCGTCGCCGCGTCCATCCAGTCGATCGAGTCCAGGATCTCTTCGAACGCCGCCTTCAGGTCCTTCACCAGCTGCTCCACCTACAATACCACAACTCAATTACCGCAACTGAGATATGGGTCATTCCTCTGCGGCGAAAGATGCACGTGAGAAAAAGGGAAAAATTGCATGGCAGCTTGCATGGGCAGGAGCAAAGCAAGTAGCTTTGAAGAGATGTGCTTTGGTTGCAAGTGGATATGTCGCAAGTGAATGTCAAGTGAATATGTGATGCACATTCGTACTGGGCGATTCCCAATACATTTCTGTGAAGTGCTCTCATGTGAAAGATCATGTGCTCATTTCGACGTTCCCATCCCATAAGGAAGTTCAAAATCAAGGCTTCATGCATGGCGTAAAATATGGCTATACATGGGTTCTTTAAGACAAATGTGACACATATGTCCATAGAGGTCCATATCATGTTTTCGTCTAGTAAAGTTCCTTAAACTCCTTCCAGTCAAGTTTGTCATATATATTCTCAAATATGTCCCAATATATCCCGTAAACACGACTCTGTTGGGTACTTCGGTAAGGGACGGGAAGACTGTTCCCAATTGAGATCCACCTAGAGTCAACTTTGAAGCCAGACAGGATTCCCCACCAATTTCAACGTCTAATGAAGGTGACAGGCCTTCCTCGTTGGTGTCGGGGGAAAATCGTCCGATTCATACAATGGAAGACATAAAGAAAATGGAGGTATTTTAACCTTCTGTGACATCTAACGGTCATTGCAATTCATATACGCGGTCTTCTCACATGGTATTCCATTTTTTAAACCCGAAACCATCCGTGTCACATACTCGTCCCATGCTATGCAGCGACCACATCAGCATGCCACATCCCTTTTCACCCTCGAACGAATGCCCTGTTGAGTGCGACGGGTTACACCACTGTTAACGACGGTATGTTCGTGTGTTGGTGAGTGACACCAGAACCAGTAACGGCCTTGTTCGCACCCGATCCCAAGTGATATATGGTGTGACAGTTTGTGAGATTGAGGATCGCATCATGAAGGGAATACTTCACGATTCCCATTGGAGATGGAGTATGTGATCGTGTGTGACTTTCTCACAAGGAAGGCGGAACTCCCCACCCTTGCACTCCTTACCCCCCAATCCCTCACTTCCAACTCCACCCCTCACTACCAACCCTCAATCCATTCCTTCCCCCATTCCGTCTCACCTCCTCCTTTGCAGTGGCTGGAAAGGATTCGGAGACGTAGACACTCCCGACGGCCATCCCCATCATGCTGTTCACCAGACTCGCACACTCATCCTCCCTAAGAGACCCGAGCATTCTCAAAGAAACAAGCCCTTCTCCGAGCTGAAAGAACTCGCAGTCACAGCCCGTACCTCGCTGGAGGCTCGTTGATCCCCGAGATGATCTTGGAGTAATTGAAGAAAAGATCCCGCATCTCTTCGTTCGTCTCGTCCCCCACCGCGTACACTAACCGCCAGTGCAAGTAGTTCGCTGGATGCAAAAAAGTATTAAATCTTTTCTCCAAGTAAAAAGAAGGAAAAGATCATTTCCTGCTTGTTGGCCTGAGGTTCATTCCCTTTCCAACGGCGGCACTTCACCCCGTATTACATTTAAGTACTGGGGTATGAGATGCTTACGCCTTCCATTATTTAATGGGTACTCCAGTCGCTGTCGGTCAAATACCTGTACAGTATAATCCATGCACAGAAGTGCACTCGGTGCTTCTGCCAATTAAAAATACAAAATTTAGGTCTCCACTGGCGACCTTTCCCGACCGAGAATCGCTATTCTAAATGAGAATGTCATGGACCGACATCGATTGAAGTACCTATCGAGGCTTCAATCATTTTCAGGTTAAAATTATCTGCGCTAGGCGGGTTTCTTCCTCACCGATAGTTCTTTTTGAAGTCCCGTTGAGGAGGGCGGCCAGGTCGGACGTGAAGTCCGTGGCGTAGCAGACGACCTCGTTGCTGCTGTTCCAGGTCACGTTCAAGTCCGAAAACACAGAGTTCAGGAAATCCGTCCATGAGATCTGGAAGAGGAAAGATAGTGTTGAAGCACGTGTTGAAGCACGTGTTGAAGCACGTGTTGAAGCACGTGTTGAAGCACGTGATGAAGCACGTGTTGAAGCACGTGATGAAGCACGACATGAAGCACGTAACAAAGCACGAGATCATCAGATGCTTCACAAATTCAGAAGCACTATACGGTCCAAAAAAAATCACCTGGCCAACAAAGGTATGCAAAAAAAACTTGAATTTGGCTGGATCTTTGCGTGCTGACTCACGACTCCCGGGGCGCCGGCGTCGGTCGCGTTCTGAAGATCCGCCAGGCTCAGCTTGTTGTAGCGGGCCGTGACGTTCCGCCGGTCCGAGCTCGGCACCACGATCTAGGTCGATTGGGATCGACTGAGGTTAGACGAGGTTAGATGAGGGTAGTTGAGGTTTTGCCGAGGTCGAAGTTCGCCGTCGCGCGCGTTCTTGTTCCTCATGATTCTTATTTGCAAACATCGGGAGGAAAAATTTGCTTAAATTTATGCTGCTTCAATCAAATTTCGAATTTCAAAAATTTTCAGCGATTAAAGCATCGAAATGACCCAGGAAAATTTCCACTCTGCGATGAATTCTCCGACAATTCGAAGCCATTTCGCAGAGGAACAATACATTTCCAAATGAATAAATTCACATTAATGGAAATACCTCGGCGAGGGCGACCTCGAAGGCGATGACCCCCTCCGCCTCCCGATCGATTGCAGCGTCCGTGACGGCCGAGCCGTGATGGTCCCTGACCAGCTTCGCCGTCCCCTTAAGCAAGTCCTTGTAGGGGTCCAGGATCACATGCAGCGACGGATTCAGGTACACGTCCCTGTTGGAGAGGCCCAGGCTCGACTGGTCCAGCTGAGGGGACGCAGGAACAGGTTTTGCGAGGGCGTGAGACAAAAAAAATCACCTGGCCAACAAAGGTATGCAAAAAAAACTTGAATTTGGCTGGATCTTTGCGTGCTGACTCACGACTCCCGGGGCGCCGGCGTCGGTCGCGTTCTGAAGATCCGCCAGGCTCAGCCTGTTGTAGCGGGCCGTGACGTTCCGCCGGTCCGAGCTCGGCACCACGATCTAGGTCGATTGGGATCGACTGAGGTTAGACGAGGTTAGATGAGGGTAGCTGAGGTTTGCCGAGGTCGAAGTTCGCCGTCGCGCGCGTTGTTGTTCCTCATGATTCTTATTTGCAAACATCGGGAGGAAAAAATTGCTTAAATTTATGCTGCTTCAATCAAATTTCGAATTTCAAACATTTTCAGCGATTAAAGCATCGAAATGACCCAGGAAAATTTCCACTCTGCGATGAATTCTCCGACAATTCGAAGCCATTTTGCAGAGGAACAATACATTTCCAAATGAATAAATTAACATTAATGGAAATACCTCGGCGAGGGCGACCTCGAAGGCGATGACCTCCTCCGCCTCCCGATCGATTGCAGCGTCCGTGACGGCCGAGCCGTGATGGTCCCTGACCAGCTTCGCCGTCCCCTTCAGCAAGTCCTTGTAGGGGTCCAGGATCACATGCAGCGACGGATTCAGGTACACGTCCCTGTTGGAGAGGCCCAGGCTCGACTGGTCCAGCTGAGGGGACGCAGGAACAGGTTTTGCGAGGGCGTGAGGTGTGTCAAAAGCGCGCGAACTCCGCGACCTCCAAATATGGAATTATTTAAATTTATTTAAATATAGTTAAATTTATTTAGAAATTTTCAAATACAATCATAAAAATGAGTAAAAATTATTTAAATATTTTTAAAAACTTCCTTAAAAAAAAAAACATGCAGGAAGATATAAAAAAAAGTTTCGAACTCACATAGAGTACATTCATGTCGGTGTCCATGTCATCCGGCCCCACGGAGACCGTGACGAGCGTGTTGAGCATGACCTCCCTGATCCAGGCGGCCGCCGTCTCCTGCCAGTCGGGGTCGCCCCCGCCCGTCGCCATCGGCCAGCCGCCGTTTTGCCCCATGAAGTCGGTGAGACGGGTGAGCCCCAGCGACTCGAGGGTTTCTGCGTCGTGAAGAAAAATGGGGTAATGCTCAATAAATTGCCGGGTGGCGGAAAGCAGTTTTCATTCCAGAAAATGATTTTCGGATTGCCCTCGGCATCCTTTCCGATGCTGAATATGGCAACCCTGACTCGCATCCGGCCTTTTTTAAGAGCCAAAGTTTCGTATGTTTCCATTCACGACTGGGCTTTTCTAATGAGATGGTGAAAAAGAAGTATGATATTTCCGGAGTCGTAGCCCTTTCATCATCCATAATTGTTCATTCATTCATGACTTCATTAAAAAAAAAAGAATTTCAAGTTAGGTCTGGTGGGACCTACCGTTGTCGACGCAAGCGGCGAACATGCTCTTCGCGTCCAGGACGGACGCGCTGTCGCTCGACAAAGGCCTTCTTTTCAGGATTTCTGTCAAGGACATAAAACGAGATAAAAGACCTAAAAAAGAACCAGATGATAAAAAAGGACATCGATATCGTGAATGAGCAACACCCGACCTTTGACCCTCAGGTTGAGTTCGAGCCGGAGGTCGTTAATAATGGTCTTGACGCTGGAGTTGAACGGGATGGGATTATCCTTAATCCAGTTCCCGCAGGTGTAAACGAAGAAGTCGTCGCAGGGATTCGCAGTTCTGTTCATCGCGGCCATCAGCTCGTCGGCTGTAACGACCCGCATTTATTCGAGGGGGAAAAATCCGAATCCGTCCATCAAACTTGGGTAAAACTGTCGCTAAAATAGCAAACAACTGGTTAAGCCGGTAAAGAAGGATTTGCACATGTTCGAAGGATAATTAAATGATTAAATTGAATTATAATTGAAGAAGTATTGGGATCGAACGAGAAATGCTCGTGGCGTGATGCAGACCGGCTTCTTCGCATTCTTTCGTGCTGCACACGTTCTGGCCATTTTTTTCGGCCTGAGACCCAGCCCTGGGTCTTTCGACTCTCGGCCATTCCTTCACTCTCGCGTTCGAGGGGAGGATGTCGTCGTCCTCCGGGAAGGGGGAGATGTGAGTCTCCGCCGGCAGCCCGCCCCTCAGCGGAGTGGATCTCATCTCCTTCCGTGTCGCCAGCGGACCTGGTGCAGCGAGCGTGCGGTCATCAGTCGTTGCGGATCTTTCGAGGAAGGAAGAGCCTAACTGGAGAAAGGCTCACGGTTTTTGGAGGCTGCAGCGTCCGCCAGGGCCAGCAGGAACAGCACAGACAGGATTCTGCTCATTAATGATGAAACAATAATCTCAATGCCACTGGCACCAAATTTTGGTATGAAGAAGAAAACAGTCAGAATGAATATAGTATAAGTTATATAGTATGCTAGCGAGTTTGTTTGCCCGAAGGGCAAACAAACTCGCTAAGGTTGCGCCTTCGGCGTTCCATTACCTTGGTTAGTGATTAATTCATTAATTTTTTTGCGAAATAGGAAACACGTATTTTAAGTACTCCCCATTGAAATATGTGACATCTGGGAATGAATGTCTTGATTTTGATCAAAATCATTACTTCTATGATTGCAAGTGTGTCTAACTTGAAATCCTTTCATGTGTCCCATTTTGTAAGGGTGGAGAATACAATTTGAAATACTTCCCTCCAATAATCTACGCTAAGGGGACATATTTCAAATGTAGGATTTTCCCTGTACTCAGCAATCAAACAGGTATTACTGAGGGAAGTTTAAATTATCTGTCTCTGTTTCGTTGGATCAAAAAAAAAAATCAGGAAAATGGAACTGAAAAAAAGTGCCCTGATGAATTTTAACGAAAATTTTATTTCTTCTGAAATGTAAGCTCAGAGAACTCCATGCCACCCAGTTTCAGCCTTAAAAATTTCCTCTTTTTGCTGGCGGAAAAAAATGTATTTGGAAAAGCCACACACCCAAAAGCTGTGCTCTGAGGAGACGCGCATCAAATGTTGAATTTTTCCTTAAATCAACATCACGTCCGTTATGCGTGCGTCGGCTGTTACTTTTATATTTCTGCCCGATTCACTAGGACATGAAAAATTCTTTGAAAACATAACGTCCCCAAGAAATATCCCCGCCCGAAACCCCAACATTTTGGAAATTTGACATTTTTCCTGAGCTCAGTGCGTCAGCAGTCACGATCTTGCCAGGTTTCAGCTCTCCANATAGAGTACGTTCATGTCGGTGTCCATGTCATCCGGCCCCACGGAGACCGTGACGAGCGTGTTGAGCATGACCTCCCTGATCCAGGCGGCCGCCGTCTCCTGCCAGTCGGGGTCGCCCCCGCCCGTCGCCATCGGCCAGCCGCCGTGTTGCCCCATGAAGTCGGTGAGACGGGTGAGCCCCAGCGACTCGAGGGTTTCTGCGTCGTGAAGAAAAATGGGGTAATGCTCAACAAATTGCCAGGTGGCGGAAAGCAGTTTTCATTCCAGAAAATGATTTTCGGATTGCCCTCGGCATCTTTCCGATGCTGAATATGGCAACCCTGACTCGCATCCGGCCTTTTTTAAGAGCCGGCCAAAGCTTCGTATATTTTCATTCACGACTGGGCTTTTCTAATGAGATGGTGAAAAAGAAGTATGACATTTCCAGAGTCGTAGCCCTTTCATCATCCATAATTGTTCATTCATTCATGACTTCATTAAAAAAAAAAAAAGAATTTCAAATTCGGTCTGGTGGGACCAACCGTTGTCGACGCAAGCGGCGAACATGCTCTTCGCGTCCAGGACGGACGCGCTGTCGTTCGACAAAGGCCTTCTTTTCAGGATTTCTGTCAAGGACATAAAACGAGATAAAAGACCTAAAAAAGAACCAGATGATAAAAAAGGACATCGATATCGTGAATGAGCAACGGCCGACCTTTGACCCTCAGGTTGAGTTCGAGCCGGAGGTCGTTAATAATGGTCTTGACGCTGGAGTTGAACGGGATGGGATTATCCTTAATCCAGTTCCCGCAGGTGTAAACGAAGAAGTCATCACAGGGATTCGCGGTTGTGTTCATCGCGGCCATCAGCTCGTCGGCTGCAACGACCCGCATTTATTCGAGGGGGAAAATTCCGAATCTATCCATCAAATTTTGCTGAAAATGTTGCCAAAATAACAAGCAACCATCGGTTTAGCCGGTAAAGAAGGATTTGCACATGTTCGAAGGAATATCCGTAATTAAATTGAATTATAATTGAAGAAGTATTGGGATCGAACGAGAAATGCTCGTGGCGTGATGCAGACCGGCTTCTTCGCATTCTTTCGTGCTGCACACGTTCTGGCCATTTTTTTCGGCCTGAGACCCAGCCCTGGGTCTTTCGACTCTCGGCCATTCCTTCACTCTCGCGTTCGAGGGGAGGATGTCGTCGTCCTCCGGGAAGGGGGAGATGTGAGTCTCCGCCGGCAGCCCGCCCCTCAGCGGAGTGGATCTCATCTCCTTCCGTGTCGCCAGCGGACCTGGTGCAGCGAGCGTGCGGTCATCAGTCGTTGCGGATCTTTCGAGGAAGGAAGAGCCTAACTGGAGAAAGGCTCACGGTTTTTGGAGGCTGCAGCGTCCGCCAGGGCCAGCAGGAACAGCACAGACAGGATTCTGCTCATTAATGATGAAACAATAATCTCAATGCCACTGGCACCAAATTTTGGTATGAAGAAGAAAACAGTCAGAATGAATATAGTATAAGTTATATAGTATGCTAGCGAGTTTGTTTGCCCGAAGGGCAAACAAACTCGCTAAGGTTGCGCCTTCGGCGTTCCATTACCTTGGTTAGTGATTAATTCATTAATTTTTTTGCGAAATAGGAAACACGTATTTTAAGTACTCCCCATTGAAATATGTGACATCTGGGAATGAATGTCTTGATTTTGATCAAAATCATTACTTCTATGATTGCAAGTGTGTCTAACTTGAAATCCTTTCATGTGTCCCATTTTGTAAGGGTGGAGAATACAATTTGAAATACTTCCCTCCAATAATCTACGCTAAGGGGACATATTTCAAATGTAGGATTTTCCCTGTACTCAGCAATCAAACAGGTATTACTGAGGGAAGTTTAAATTATCTGTCTCTGTTTCGTTGGATCAAAAAAAAAAATCAGGAAAATGGAACTGAAAAAAAGTGCCCTGATGAATTTTAACGAAAATTTTATTTCTTCTGAAATGTAAGCTCAGAGAACTCCATGCCACCCAGTTTCAGCCTTAAAAATTTCCTCTTTTTGCTGGCGGAAAAAAATGTATTTGGAAAAGCCACACACCCAAAAGCTGTGCTCTGAGGAGACGCGCATCAAATGTTGAATTTTTCCTTAAATCAACATCACGTCCGTTATGCGTGCGTCGGCTGTTACTTTTATATTTCTGCCCGATTCACTAGGACATGAAAAATTCTTTGAAAACATAACGTCCCCAAGAAATATCCCCGCCCGAAACCCCAACATTTTGGAAATTTGACATTTTTCCTGAGCTCAGTGCGTCAGCAGTCACGATCTTGCCAGGTTTCAGCTCTCCACGTGTTTCCGTTTGATTGAAGCAAAGAGAACTATATTGAAATATGTTCCCCTATGGCATGTATCTCCAAAGTAGAGTTTTTCCTGAACTCAGCATGCGACTTATGTCAGTCAGTCAGCCACTCACGATCCTCTATACAATAAAAGTATAATTTTTTATTTACACAGCTATCTATCAGGTTCTTCTTTTCCAATTATGAATTTTCTAGCGTCCTTCGTTTTGCTGGATCGAGAAAATAAGCCTTTTGCAAAATATGTGCACTAAGGCGTTTTAACCGAAAAATACATTTTTTTTTAATTTACCGAAATCAATCCTCAGAGAACTACATGCCCAGAATGTTTCAACCGTATACATTTGCCCTTTTCGCTGGTGGAAAAACTTGCTGGGAAAAGCCAACCCACCCAAAAGCTATGCCCGGAGGGGATGCACCATGAAAGCTGAATACTCCCTCAACTGAATGATATTATGTCAATGATATGTGTACCAAGTTTCACCTTTCCATTTCTGTCCAATTCGCCTAGACAAAAATGTTTTTTTTTTTTTAAGCAACGCCCCACGAAAAAATTCCCTAGGGGATGTATCTAGACTTAACTATTTCCTTTAACTCCTTGTCTCAGTAGTCACATTCATAGAAAGTTCCAGCTTTCTATATTCATCAGTTTAACTAATGCAAAAAAATTATTTGAAAAAATTTCCCTTTGAAATTTTTGCCCCCGGGGCATTTACTTGCAAAGTCTAAAATTTTTCCGCATGCAGCATCCCAATAGGTAGTTATGTAGCAAGTTTCATCTTTCCACCCCATCTCAATAAGCCAGGGCAAAAAAAAAATAACACGTCAGCCCCTAAGAATATGCCCTCACAGGGCAGGGAACTTACATTTTGCATTTTTCCTGAACTCGCTCTCCGTGACTCTCCGTTTTACTCAAGAAAAAATCATGTTATGGAGGGAGAATGAGTAACGGGACATGGAAGGCAAAATATGCCAAAAGAAAGCCAAGGAATGGCCGGGAATTGAACCCAGAACTCCTGAATGACGGTCAGATATGCTACTAAGTTACTACGCCACCGAACCCAGGACATTCCGTAGTCCCTCCGAATGCCATCCTCATCTGTCACAATATATATTTTAGAAAAAACCTTTCACCCCAAAATATGTACCCCCAGGGCATTTACCTCCAAATTCGGATTTTGTCTGAACTCTCCATCCCAAAAGGTACATGTGTACCAAGTTTAAGATTTCTAACCTTTCTAGAACATGGTTAGAATTAGCGTCAGTCAATACATGTGTACCAAGTTTAAGATTTCTAACCTTTCTAGAACGTGGTTAGAATTAGCGTCAGTCAGTCAGTCACGATCGTCTATATATATTAGATTGATATATATTAAATGACCAACTTATATATATTAAAACAATGAGAAACATTGTTCAACGAATTCAATAGGCCAATTTCGCTAGAATGACGGTGAAATTCAAAATGAAGAAAAGTAACTGACTTGAGGATCATGCTGGTACTCTCTCGTCGGAGGCAACTGGAGGATTAGTGCTAAGTCTCCAAGAATGTGCAGGCGATAAAATCGCTCTCCTTATCCTCCTTATTGCCTTTGTCAGAAAATATCCTTGAGCGAAAGAGGCATGAATATATCTTTATGCGAGAGTCATTTAGGCAGATAAAACAGATTTTATTGCTTATGCCGGGAGTCATTTAAGGAGATAAAACAGACTTTATTGTTTGGTTCTCATGTTAATTGCCTTGAGACGGTTGTTTTCGAAATATCGCAGACTGTTGCATCAGCACGGGTCGAATGTTGCCAACGTTGCGACCCAATGCTCAAGATTGTGCTTTATTCCGGATTTCTTGAAAATTCTCCAGGCAGAAATCAATAGAGAATATATGTAATTCTCTCTCTTTTAAACTTGCGAAGATCTTTCGAGCCAAAAGATTTTGACCGAATGCCCACCCCCTATCCTTCCCAGTCAGCAGTATATAGGCCGGCGTACCCGCGGAAGATGTGGCTCGCCAGTGGTTATGGATGTTTCATGCACTAACGCAATCCGACTGAGGATCAGTGAAGAATTCTGCTTTGAAGCTTTGATGAGAACGTTCTTTAATGAGAACATATCATTTTTTATCAATGACAAAAATGGGCGCAAAGTTATGTGCCAAAGTTGCAGGTGAAAAATGTTGGAAAATGTTGAAGTTCTTCTCCGCTAGATGGAAGTTTGAACCGTGCTTTTCGCACAGTACACAAAATTGCATTCGCCAAATTCGCCAAAATTGCATTCGCCAAATTCGCCAAAATTGCATTCGCAAAATTGCTCTCTCCCTGGAATCGCCCTCACAGGAGTGTTTCGCACCTCACCATATGTCTCGCCTAATCACATTATAGAAATTGATGAGCGCCGTGACATCGTCATTTGGTGTTCCCATATTCGAGACAGATTCGGCCAGCCCAGGCTTTAAACAAGCCCACATTTCGGATAAGAATCATTTCCATGGAGAAGGTATTGGAGCCTGATAATATTGGCTCCTGTTAATCCGAAGTAGCTCTCGGGGCACCTGATAGGTACCTAAAACTTATATAAAGCCATTATTAAATAGATAGGAATTAATCTTCTTTAAAAGTGGGTCTAAAATAGCCCCAACCTGTCTTCATTCATCAAAAGTTAATGAATTGGTCTAATCTTTTTTAAGGCTGCTATTGCAACTGTCCTAACAAATGAGTAATCAGAAAAACAGACTGGTGGAACCTCGGTCACCGACCGGGACAATTCCCGTTGTCTAAATCAGCTTCGAGGGGGTCTTGCATCTGCCAGCCCGCTCGCAGGAGGGTTTCACTGGGACTGGCGGGACCCCTGGTGTACCCTGGTGTACCCCTGGTGTACCCCTGGTGTACCCTGGTGTACCCACCATCAGGGAGAGGGGTCAGTCCCCCATTAGCTCCTTGTCTTTAAAAATAAAAAAGGAGAAAGGTACTTACATTAAAGAGGAGTTCTAGAACAGTAAGGATGTGCGCAGATTCAATGCCCCGATTCTTCGACCTGAGGTCGGAATGGGGAAACTCGGCATCGAATTCGTGTAAATTCCATGGAACATAAAGGATGAACCTTTCCCAGAAACGGTTGCCACAGAAAAAGAGGACATTTATGGAGTGGCCCGCTCATGCGCCACGTTGGTGCAATGCTTCCGCTGCAAACACGGTAACGAGGCCGGTGGTTCTCAACCTGGGGGTAATTACCCCCCGAATGCAGGACGGTTCAATGGGAGTAAATGGAAGGTTCAGAATCACTGAACTAGGCTCTTTTTGTTATGGATGTGTCACGCGCATGCGCCACACTTGGTTCGCTGATGCATTAATTGTTGGGTGACACAGAAAAAGCGGAGATTTCCGCTACGGCCCGAGCACATGCCACTCATGACCCGAGCACATGCCACTCATGGCACGTGGATGCATGTGTGGGCTGGTGGACTCGGCTCAAGCTTGTAACATGCGAACCTCGGAGATGAGTCGCACTTGCGGTGGAGATAAATTGCTGACTGGGTTCAGACCGAAAATTGAATTTCCTAGATGTGCGCGATATTTATCACATGGACGCAACTGTCGCTGATGTTGGTCATGAAGTCGTCGATGTTGCAACCGACTCTCGTGGCGAAGGCGGCGTTGTTACTCGGGGTTCCGTAGATCCTGAACTTTTGGGGACGCTAGCGTTCCCGCACCTGTTCTAAAAAGTACGGGGTAGGAAGAAAGTGCACTCCAAAAAGGATGAGAGTGGAATATGTGGGAAATCCTCGTACGGAGGCGAAGGTGTGACGAGGACGAGCTGCTGAGGCGGGAGGAGACCAGGGAGGAAGGGTTCCGTTCCGTTCCAGTCGACGTAATTCAGCTCACTCAATCCTTCCATGTACACATTACAGTTTGTTGTGAGACAGGGAATGAATCTTGGGATCCAAATTGCTTCCTTCTTTAAATTCCAAATTGTTTCCTTCTCTTTTCCGCTAAATATTGAGTTCTGCGAGAAGTTCCCCTGATGACTAAACGAGGATAGTAATCCTCACCGCTCTTCTTAATTCAGCGGAAGGGAGCGGTGACGATGGACGATGGAAAGGAGCGGTGACGATGGACGGTGGAAGGGAGCGGTGACGATGAACGGTGGAAGGGAGCGGTGACGATGGACTGGTCGCGCGGCAGAGCAGGGAACCATGGAGGGTGCCTGGTCGCCAACGTCTCACCCGAATGCTGCTCGTCCTCGGCCGTGGGGATTTGCCAGCGTTGCAGACTCGCGCTTCTCCGGAGACCGAATCCGAGGCCGCTTCGGTCGCGGTTAAACAGATTTCGGCCGGCCTTTGGCTTTTGCCCGTCTGAAATGGATTCTTAGGGATTTTGTGTTTTGCGTTCCTACAACATTGAATTCCGCCTGCTTGAACCTCCGATGGGAAAATTTTGGCAGCTCGGTGGAGCAAATTCTGCATTTTTCTTGTCTCTACTGTACTGAAATTCTCCATTCTGTTCATCACCGATTCGTAAATGTGGAATACCAATATTTTTTTAAATAATCCATATTCTCGAAAAACTCTGCAAACGGTCGTTGCTTTCATAATTCTAAGGTTTTTGCCTACTCCATGATAATAAATATATTTTTTTGTTTTCGTCCCTTCTCTCATCCGCTAAGGTGATCTCGTGCCCAATGACCACGCCGATCCCGCCTTGGTCATGGCCGCCGGCCTCGCGATGAAACCGATTCTGTTGGATCCCCGCAAGGAGTTCATGACGGAGTGATAGAAGGCGTCGACGACGGTCGGGTGGATGATCCAGGCGTCCCGGTCCACCGGTTCACGCCTGGATCATCGGTCCGCCGGCCGCCTGTCGCTTCCGCGTCCGGCCGGGCAGGCCGAAGACGTTCGATTGATAGCTGTTCACCTCGGTCCCGGACAGAGATCGGTCATCCGATGATTTGCTTCGTCTAAAACGTTGCTGAACCTCTCTTCTCCGTCGAGAGGTGAAAACGTGCTCTCTGCAGAAGACTTGTCTCCGAATGACCGGATTCTCTGGAGGTAACCTACGTCTTTCAGCGTTTCACGTGTCTCAATCGGTCAATTGTCTCAATCGGTCAATTGTCTCAATCGGTCAATTGTCTCAATTTGGCCATTGAGACGCATGAGCATGATTGCAACGAAACCAGAAATGAACAAGTTCATGGAACTGTTCTAATCCTCGTCAGTCTTGGCATTTGCGATGGAATCGCGTCGCGGTGGGAAAGGAAGCACATATATATATTCCCTCCATTTCCACAGACTAAAGGAGGAGTCAAAGCGTGAAGAAACTTCTTGAACACTTTCCGAATTTGAGAAGATAATTTTATCGCACAAAATGTTTGGAATGATAAAAAAAAATTACGAAACGAATTTCAATTGATTAAACCCATTTCATCCCACCTGATCGGAATTAAAAAATTCTCGCATTCATGATGTTTCATTAAAGTCCTCATGCCGACTCGTCGGCATTTTTAGAGATTTCTCTCGTGCCAGTCACGACATGACTATTATCGGATGACTATTATCATGACTATTATCCTTACCCTTTACACGGTTTCACCCAGCGCCTGACGGCACTGACATCGGCACTAGAGCCACCATACACTTCCTTCAACCGCCCATGAATGTCACTAGGAGTAAGGAACTCAGTAAGGAACTCCATCGCCGCTCTCTGCCTTTCGCTCTCCGTAACCGCGTCAAGTTCGGAAGTCATTTTGTGCGACTGCAGCCGTGCTTCCATCGGTCGGATCTCAGAGAAACTTGAGGGGCGTTCAGGTATGTCGCCAGGAGTTTTTTCGCCGGTCGGCGATGGCGACTCAGGAGATAATAGGAGGCGGTACTTTCTGAACGACCCTCGTAATAATCTAAGATAATGGTTAGTATCGCTTTGGGAACAGAGGCACGAATGTCTCCTCTTCAGTTGCTTGCCAGAAATAAGAGGACGATCGAGAGCACTATCCGAACTCGGTTGACTTGCAGATGATGCTTGCATAGACATAATAATCCAAGCAGAGACCACCCATATTTTGAAGATTGGCGATGAAAATCCTTCAGAAACTCGCATGGGTTGGCAATCGGTACAATAGTGGAGTTTCTTTCCCTCAAGCGCATTTAACCAACAAATTACGCATAAGAATGTCACAAAATTACATTTCATTTTTTTATTTATTGAATTCCTCCATGAATAGACTGACTACCAGATGACGCAGCTGTCGGCCCCGTTGAACATGAAGTCGTCGGCAGTGCAACCGAAGGCCTCGGCGAAGGCGGCGTTGTTGCTCAGGGCACCGTAGACCCTAAACTTGGGCGGACTGTGAGGATCGTTCAGGATCATGTTCAGCAGATACTCCACTGTGTTGTCACCGCACCAGATCTAGAAGAAAGGGAGCGATATTTAATTTTTAGATATTATGAAATGATATGAACTTGGGGGGGAAATACTATATTACTCGAGAATCAGATCTTACCCAAGAGTAGGTGACAAAGACGAGCTGTTGAGGCGTGAGGAACTCGAGACCAGGGAGGGAGGGTTCCGTTCCGTTCCGGTCGATGTAATTGAGGTAGGCGAACCAGGCCTCCCGCATCCCTCCGTTGTCGGCTATGTTCTCTCCCAGAGTCAGCAGTCCGTTCACGTGAGGGTCTGCAAAGGGCAGAAGCGGAGGATTGAAGGGCATTCGAAGTACAAGGGAAGAAATGAAGCAAGGGGGCGGCGAGGATCACGAAGGACTTCTCACTGAAGGACAGCTCATACGTGGACTTGAACCGAGAATATGAATATGATATAATATTTATCATATTGTTTCTTTTTTTTTTTGCTATTTCGTACCTTCCAAGAATTCGGAGAGCTCGGGGAGTTGGTAGCCGTCATATTGATCGATGAAGCACTGTGCCCTTTCCACAAAGGCATCGGCCGTCGCGTCCGTCCACCAGTTGACCAGGTTCCCTTGGGCATCGTGCTGGCGACCGTTACTATCGAACCTGGAACATGAATTGCATCGATTATGCATGTGCCATGAATGCAAGTCGCCCACATCGGGCACGGGGGGAACCTATCGATGTTTTAAGGTAACGCATTCGCATTTCGATGGGAAGGACGGGATTTGCTTTCGACGCAAGGCGCTCCCCCCCCCCCCCCCCCCCCCCCCCCCCCCCCCCCCCCCCCCCCCTCTGCCCCTCCCCTCCCCCANCGCAAGGCGCTCCCCCCCCCCCCCCCTCCCCGTTTTTCGACCTTTTTCAGACATGATATGCACTCGGAGAAGTCTTCAGCGCTTCAAAGGCTTCCGTCTTCTGCCGATAGAATATAGTTTGAAGATGGAAATATTCGCTTTTCGCATCTGAGTGAGGGCCGGTTAAAATTCCCAACAGACTTTAAGGTGGCGCTCCTTTCATTTGGGTTGACTGGTTAAAAACGCTCTCGGATTCCTAAACGCATGATTCCATGCATATGAACCGTATATCAATGCCATCCACCCATGATGGTACTTATAAGTACCGCATAAAGTACAAACTAGTACTTGATCTGAAAAACGGCACGATCGATTCCGAAATCCCAAGGTCCTGCCGCGGAGAAGGTTGCCGATGTTAGGGATTCGCAAGCGGATCTTGAAAAAATTGAGGAGTTTTCATGATATTTGAGTCGTATGTTGGCACCATAGAGGTCCATTATAATGGTTTAGTTGCACCTTCGAAAAATAGATGGCAGACCTGTCTCACGCACACGAAGAGAGCTCCATCCTCCTCGCCCCTCATTGGCCGGTTTTCCAGAATTTCTTCAACCTAAGGAGACGCCCCCTGGGAACCTCGGAAGGGGAAGCGAGGCTCTGATGGGCTTCCTTCGCTTCACGCTCCATCCCCCCTCGCCCGGTCCCTTGGCCCGAGAGCCGGCGGGTCTGAGGGGCGGGGAGACGCTGAACGGCGTCTATGAAACGTCGAGGCGCTTCCTCTTTTTTTCAGGGAGGGTACTGCGCCGCTTTAAGGTCGCCATGTGAGTTTCACCTTCGCGAAGGCAAAAAGGTCAAGTAGATATGTAACACTTTACGCGTTAAACTATTCCTGCTCAATTTTCTTGTGCTATTCTTGTCGGATCACAAAGCTAAATACCTTTTTCCCCATCCCCTTCCACTCACCCGTGCGTGATCTCGTGCCCGATGACCATGCCGATCCCGCCGTAGTTCATGGCCGCGGGCCTTCCCTTCTGGTAGAACGGACTCTGCAGGATCCCCGCCGGGAAGGTGATGGTGTTTTGGCGGCGCGAGTACATGGCGTCGACCAAGGTCGGGTGGATGATCCAGGCGTCCCGGTCCACCGGGCCGTTCACGCCGGCCGCCTGTCTCCCCCACGACCAGCCGAGCAGGCTGAAGACGTTCGACAGGTGAGTGTCGCCGTTCGCGACGACCTGAGAAGGAGAAACGGAGGACCTGAAGCAACGGATTGTGAAACGGTAGTCTTCAGCCTAATTGCCAGCTTGTGAATTTTTCGAGTCGTGAGACTTCCACGAGAGACCGAAGAGAATAGGAGCAGAGGATCTCGGATCGGTACTTACTGGACTCTTAAGCGTTTTTTTTTATGAAAGAGAACTATGGCCTCTGAAGAAGCGAGAATCCTGAGTTCTATTTCAATGTGGGTGTGGTTGAACGATGCGAGGCTTCACTCTGCTATTTCTCCGATCGATAATGAATTCATTTATGAACTGACAATCGTGAAAGACACTAACAGTAGACACGTCTTCCTCCGGCCAGCTCTCGACCGAAAACGGCCCGGTTCTGTATACTTCCAACACGAAACGGCACAGACCCCGGCATAATATTCGGCGAGGGCCTCCGGATCGAGGATGAAATCAGGATATCCGATGAAGGCCCGAATGGCAGCGTTCTTCTCTCTGGCCTTCTCCACCGTCGCCGCATCCATCCAGTCGATCGTGTCGAGGATCCCTTCAAACGCCGCCTTCAGGTCTGCCACCAGCAGCTCCACCTGCAAACGTGCAACCCCGTTACCGCAACCGAGATATGGAGGTCAGCCCCCTCCCCTTGCCCCTCCCATTGTCCCCTTCCCAGCCCCCTGCCCCCTGCCCCCATCCGTCTCACCTCTTGCTTGGCAGTGGCTGGGAAGAAGTTGGATACGTAGACACTCCCGACGGCCATTCCCGTCAGGTTGTTCACCACGATCGCACACACGTTCTCCCTATCGGACACGAACATCTCTTAGCATCCTCCATCGAAGGCCTTTGCTATATCGAGGAAGTTCCAGGTAATGTCTCCATCCGATACTTCTCTGGAGGTTCGTCGACTCCCGAGACGATCTGCGAGAACCGGAAGAAGAGATCCCGCATGGTCTGGTTCGTCTCCTCGCCCACCGCGTACACCAGCCGCCAGTGCAGGTAGTTGGCTGAATGAAGAATCCAAGAATCGAAAATTTTCGAGAAAGGCGAATGATATTATTGCCCTTCCTCCTCGAGAGAGATTAAAGATGGAAGCGAAGAAGCCAGATGGCGATTTGTTTGACGTGGAACATTTCGCGTCGGCTCAGCAGAATCCTTCATCTTATACGAAGCGTGAATAAGTTCACAATGAACAAGACTGACACCCCAGAAGCAAATGGTTAAATAAGTTTTAAATCCGAATGAACGCACGAAGGACTGTCACCTCTTCCAAGCTCAGAAATATGCTTCCCCCCTCCCCCCCCCTCCCCCCCTCCC